GATCGGGATGAAAAATGTTCGCCGAGGGGTAGTCAAAAGAGACGGTGTATTGCTCATGTGAATGATGACCCCATCGCTTCCGCCGGTAGTCTGTCTGCTGCCCCACAGGGAAGTAAGCGACCACGGGACCCCTCCTCTTCTAATCATGATAGTGAGCCGCGAGAGGCACGACCCTCTGGCGCAAACGTGAATGCCTTCAAACTCAACGCCTACTCTCAGGCGCGGTTGGGCATGATGCATGCGTCAGGTGACTGGTCCGCTCATCGTCGCGCGTTCGCTGCACGCTCGAGGGATTCTCAGGCTGCTCTTCTTGGATGGCGTGGTGGTACTAAATACGTCGGTTGGAGAAAATGGGAAGATGTCTTCATTGCGGATCAAAATGGCAATACTAAGTGGTGGGAGACTATGATGTTTGGGAAAGAAGATTGGTCGTTTTTCGTTGAGAAGTTACTCAAAAGACTGCACCTGCCCGCCATTCTTGACTATCTGGCCAAACCTAGAGTTTCGGTTGCCCGTACGGAGGAGGAGGAGACGAAAGTTAACAATGATAGGATTGCGCGTCGCATTGCTCATAACTTTGAAAATGAGACTATCTTTGACTATGAGTCGGATAATATTCCATTTGCAATACTGGGTGACAGCTTGTGTGTTGTCCAATGGATAAGAGGGCACTGGAGGTGCACGAACATGGGCTATAATAACACCTTGGAGGCGGCACAAAACACTCTTGATGCTATAACGGACACCTGCTTGAGAACTGCGTGTGCGGGGGCTGACCCAGTCAAACATCTGTATAGGGAGGGTAACAGTTATGCTGATGAACTCACGTGGGCTTGCAGAGCTTGCCCACACACGTCGAAGAGAAACGAGTATCTTGCCCCTTTATATACTTCGAAAGTTTTAGGATTGAGGGGTTACTTCGACGGAGGCACCTCGGATATTGGGGCTGGGGGAGGCTGGTGGCTGCAGGCTTTTGTAGAACATAAAAATGCTATACAGTGTCACGTGATTGCCGAGGAGGCGTTTGGCCTCGATAGGGAGTCAACCGTGACGGTCTGTGAGTTAACGGCCGCCTCGAAGCTAATTCACGCAATCTCGCAGATTGCGTCTGTTATAGATAGCGTCTCACACGCTCGGTAGAGCCACTTGCGCCTGGTGGCCGCGGGGAGCACCGCTGCTTGCATGTGCTGGAGGACCCCACCGCAAAGCCCGCAAAGACTAGGTTGACGGTTCACCGCCGGCGCCAGTAATTCCGGGGCGCTGGAGAGCTAGTTGGCAAGACAAATCTCGACGGACCTTTTGATGACTTTTAGTCGGTTGAAAATTTTGTTCTCGAAATTCAACCATTCGTTAGAGCTCTAGTATATCTTCCCGTGATATTCGATCTTATTTCCGCTCGCCATCTTGATCTCAGCTCGATCGGGTACCTTTTACTGCCAAACAGCGTCCAGGCGGGATCGGCCGTTTCGAGTCATCTTGATACGCGCTGTCGGTATATTGGACTGAACTCGAGAGACAGGACAGCTACAGAGCTGGTAAGCACACCTTATCGATTCAGAATGATCAGGCGCGTTCGTCTGTTGCATCCAGAGCTCTGAACTCGGTCTGCTAGCCGAGCTAGGTCCGCAAACCTATTCGTATGATTCGAGTCATCTTGACCTGCGCTCTCGGTTTTCTGTACTTAACTCGAGCTATGTGACAGCTACAGAGATGATCCTTACAGAAACCGATTCAGAGTCATCTCGCGTTCGTCTGTTGAATCCAGAGCTCTGAACTCGGTCTGCTGCCTGCTCTAGAATCGCGAAACTATTCGTATTGAGAGGTGCTGTCAGTTTTCTGTACTTAACTCGAGTTCTGGGGGGGGGCTACAGTGCTGGTAGTCACAGGAATCGATTTGGAGACATCAGGCGCGTCCGCCTGTCGAATCCAGAGCTCGAAACTCGGCCTGCTGCCCGAACTAGGACCGGGAAACTATTCGTATTGTTCGAGTCATCCTGAGATGCTGTCGGTTTTCTGCACTTAACTCGGGCTGTAGGGGGGCTGCAGGGCTGGTAATCACAGGAATCGATTCAGAGACATCAGACGCGTCCATCTGTCGCATTCAGAGGCCTGAACTTGGTCTGATACTCGAGCTAGGTTTGCCAAACTGGGCGCCGGCGGTAAACCGTCAACCTTTCTTACCGCCGGGGGACTCGTAGAGCTTCCTGACAATATATAATGTCGAAAAAAATTGCAGAGAACGAATAGTTTCTCAGCCTAAGCGATTTCAGACCTCTCGATGCAACAGCCAAATGCCCCTCATGCTTCTGGATCGTTTCCTGTGCGCACGAGCTCCGTAGCTCTCCTGCAGCCCGAGTTACGTGCGAAATTCGACAGCACCTCTCAAGATCACTCGAACAGTACGAATAGTTTGGCAAACCTAGCTCGAGTATCAGACCGAGTTCAGACCTCTGAATGCAACAGGCGGACGCGTCTGATGTCTCCGAATCGATTCCTGTGATTACCAGCTCTGCATGCCCCTTACAGCCCGAGTTAAGTGCAGAAAACCGACAGCACCTCTCAAGACGACTCGAACAATACGAATAGTTTCGCAGACCTAGCTCAGGCAGCCCGAGTTCAGAGTTCTGAATGCGACAGGACGCGACTGATGTCGCCGAATCGTTTCCAGTGATTACCAGCCCTGCAGCCCCCTTACAGCTCGAGTTAAGTGCAGAAAACGGACAGCAGCTCTCAAGATGACTCGAAGAATACGAATAGTTCGCGGACCTAGCTCGGGCAGCACCCCGAGTTCTGAGCTCTCGATTTGGCAGGCGGACGCGCCTGATGTTTCCGAATTGATTCCTGTGAGTACGAGCCCTGTAGCCCCCCTACAGCCCGAGTTAAGTGCAGAAAACTCACAGCACCTCTCAAGATGATTCGATCAATACGAATAGTTTCGCCAACCCAGCTCGGCCAGCAGACCGAGTTCAGACCTGGATGGAACAGGCGAACGCGCCTGATGATTTGCAATCGATTTCTGTGAGAATGAGCTCTGTAACTGCCCTACAGCTCGAGATTAAGTACACAATATCGACAACGCCTATCAAGATGACTCGAAACAGCCGATCCGGCCGCGACGCTTTTTTGCAGACATAGTTACCCGATCGAGCTGAGATTAAGACGGCGAGCGGGGATAATATCGAATATGGTCAGAAAAAATTCTAGAGCTCAAACGAATTGTTGAATTTCGAGAACAAAATTTTCAACCGACTAAAAGTCAGCAAAAGGTCCGTCGAGATTTTTCTTGTCAACTAGCTCTCCAGCGCGCCGGAATTACTCTTAAGCTTCCAGCAACTAGCTAAGGGAAGCTCTACGAGTTACTATTCGTATTGTTCGAGTCATCTTTAGGTTGTTGTCGATTTACGCACGTAACTTGGGCTGTGGGAGAGCTACAGAGCTCGTACAGAAGACAATCCAGAAGCATCGGGGGCGTTCGGCTGTTGCATCGAGAGGTCTGAAATCGCTTGGGCTGAAAAACTACTCGCTCTCTGCAATTTTTTTCGACATTATATATTGTCAGGAAGCTCTACGATTCCCCCGGCGGTAAGAAAGGTTGACGGTTTACCGCCGGCGCCCAGTTTTTATTCGAGATCGTTTTTTTTTTTTTTTTTTTTTTTTTTTTTTTTTTTTTTTTTTTTTCCTTTCTTAATGACTTAAGTCGAGCTGCAGATGGTCTTCAGAGGTCTTAGGCATCCCAATCGGAAGGAAATCATCAGGCGCGCTATTTCAAAATATCTAGACGCCTGAAATCAGTCTGCTATCAGCGCTGGGACTGAACAAATATACCTCTTAGAGCCCTTCGTCAGCGATGAGCTAGAGGAATTCCGGCGCGGGATGGAGCTAGTTGGCCCATCCGACCGGGGCGGTCAAATAACTCGTAGAGCTTCCCTTAGCAAGTTATTGCTGGAAGCTTAAGAGTCATTCCGGGGCGCTGGAGAGCTAGTTGGCAAGAAAAATCTCGACGGACCTTTTGCTGACCTTTGGTCGGTTCAAAATACCTCGTAGAGCTCTTCGACATCGATGAGCTAGAGGAATTCCGGCGCGGGGTAGAGCTAGTTGGCCCACCCGGCCCCGACGGACAAAGTGACAACTTTTGGGTGGTCTTGCGAATATTTGAAAGATATTTGGCCATTTATTTTCTGAAAGCGTTTTTTTTTGCACCTGTAGACGACTATGAGGGCCTCCGCGTCTTAATATGAGCTCTCTAGATGCACCTTTACTATCAAAACACTTGGCGAAACCAACTTTTACGTCGACATGAAACAAATCGTATTTTCTCTTTTCGAGAAATGCTTACAGAAGCCCTCTCTTTCGATGCTGAGCACTCTTACGCGTGCTAGGAGCTCTACGAGGTTCCCGGCGGTCACCAGGTTGCTGCTGTCCTTCCTCGGGATCTCAGCGGCGACCTGGCCCGTCGGAGGCCTCCTCGAGCGGCATCGTGCCGTGCCTGGCGTTTGGTTCTCTTTACCGTACATGGTGCTTCAGTGTCTGTTTTGCCTGAGTACCGTACACTCTTATTGATTGTCGAATTTGTGTATCTCTTTGTTCTCATATGATCGTTTCTTCAGAAGTTGTCAATTGGCTTTGCTCAGCAGTGAGGACGCTCCAAAAGAGAGTCGCCGAATTGGAGCGAGCCAGAGAGACGCCGCGCGTGATCTCATTGTTTGGCGCATTGGAATTCAGAGTTGTGGCTCCGAGGTATATTAAATATGGATCAGAGTTGCGGCAGGGCGTTTGTGTGCGGAAGATGTATGCTCACCGATATTTTCGATATCTCGATTCTACTTCCGAGGGTAGCTCAGCTGCTGTTCTTGACGATATGGAGGAGGAGGAGGAGGCGGCATCTGCTTCATGTGGTCTCGCGCATTTGGGCTTCTCTGCAGGGAGTACGATTTATCTTTTTGATGCCATTTGTGGGAAGGAGGAACATGAAATGAGTGGTTCCAGGACGGAAGATCCCTATGCAAGCTTGGCAAAGTCTTCCCCTCGGCAAAAGGTTGGGGCGCCAGTTTCTTCGGCAGCTGTTGGAATGCACCTTCCTACTGCAGATGTTGGCATGCAGGTTTCTTCAGCAGATGTTGGAATGCAAGTTTTTGGGAGTGCTTCAGCAGATGGTGCGATGCAAGTTTCTTCAGCAGACGTGGGAACGCAAGTTTCTTCAGCAGATGTCGGCATGCATGTTTCTTCAGCAGATGTTGGAAGGCACGTTTCTGGGAGTGCTTCAACAGGCGTTGGAATGCAAGTTTCTTCAGCAAATGTGAGAATGCAAGTTTCTTCAGCAGAACAAGATGTTGGCATGCATGTTTCTTCAGCAGAGGTCGAAATGCACGTTTCTGGGAGTGCTTCAACAGGCGTTGGAATGCAAGTTTCTTCAGCAGATGTTGGATTACAAGTTTCTTCAGCAGAACAAGATGTTGGCATGCATGTTTCGTCAGCAGATGTTGGAGTGCACGTTTCTGGGAGTGCTTCAACAGACGTTGGAATGCAAGTTTCTTCAGCAGATGTTGGATTGCAAGTTTTTTCAGCAGAACAAGATGCGGAGGTTGGAATGCGAGTCTCTTCAGCTGGTAGTGCAACAACTTGCGCGCGAGTGAATCGATCTGAGGTTAGGGTGCCAGATAAAATGGAGCAGTTTGATCAGTTCGTAATTGAGGTTGGAGTGCACGGGCGAAGTTACTTGATAGATGACATGCTTCGCATGAGCTTCACGTCACAATACGTGTTTCGTCTCGCCAGATGTCTGGGCAGAAAGTTCGGCACTCCAGTTGCCTCTAAGACTCAGTGCCGGAAGCTCGGTTACGGGTATAGCCTCAATCACGACATTCTTTTTGGTGTGTTCTATATGTGTACCAGATTGAAAATATCAGAAATCCACGGTTTCACCAGGCAAAGGGCAACGCGCGATACCGTTGTTGAGGGCATCCTGCATGACCTCATTGTGGTGCAAGGTGGGCCTAGAACTCTGGGCGAACATGTTCATGCAAGTTTTTGGAAGGAGGATTTCAGCCAATGGACGTTGCAAGATACGCGCCGAGTTCTCGGTTCAGTTGGGACAGGCGTTTCTTCAGCAGATGTTGGAATGCGAGTCTCTTTCGCAGATGTTTGAATGCAAGTTTCTGGGCGTGCTTCAACGGATGTTGGAAGGCAAGTTTCCTGAGTTGAATTTCCAACCTCATGCGTTCATTGCACGTTTAATGTCATGAGTTCAGTGAGCTTCCAACTTATCAGTTCATTGCATATCCATTTTGTAATTTGCATATCCACTCCGTATGCTGCCTGTTCATAATTCACTTTGCCTGTTTGTGTGTGTGTGTGTTCATAATTCAGTTTGCATTTCTTACCTGCATTCTGACCTTTAATCCCTTGTGCATTCTCAGTGGTGTCGAGACGGTAATCGCTGTATAAACCAGTGGTTACTGTGTGGTCTCTCACTGCTTCTCGTGTGGTCGCTGTATAAACCAGTGGTTACTGCGTCTCACTGTTTTGGTGTTATATTCTAATGTATTGGCAGTCTTGTGCATATCTCTACAGCCTCGCTGTTTGATGCACCTCTGCTTTAATCTTTGCAGCTTCGCTGTCTTCCTGTACAGCTTCGCTGTTTAGGTTCTTTGTGTTTAGGCCTGCTCACATGGGAGCTCGAACCGGCCTTCGCAAAAGACGCACCAGGTTGACGGTTCACCGCCGGCGCCAGTTTTTTTCTCGAAATTCAACAATTCGTTTGTGCTCTAGTACCTCGTAGAGCTCTTCGGCACCGATGAGCTAGAGGAATTTCGGCGCGGGGTGAGGCTAGTCGGCCGACCCGACCAAAAGAGACAATGTGACAACTTTGGGCCGGTTTTGCAAATATTTGAAAGATATTTGACATTTCATCTCGAGAACGGGTATTTTTCCCACGTATAGTGGGTTATGCCGCGTTTGCCAGTTAAATTTTTAGGTGTGTAGGTGCAATATTACTATGAAAAGACTTGCTGGAACCGACTCTGTATGAAAACCAAAAAAACGTGTTTTTTCGAGTTTTTCTGTTCTCGCTCAGAAGCTTCCTTCATGTGTTCCGAGGAGCGCTGTGCAACAAAAGAGCTCTACGAGGTGGCCGGCGGTAGCCTGGTTGACGGTTTACCGCCGGTTTCCAGTATTTTTTCCCGTGATATTCGATCTTATTCCTGCTCGCTGTCTTGATCTCAGCTCGATCGGGTATCTTTTACTGCCAAAAAGCAGGCAGGCGGGATCGGCCGTTTCGGGTCATCTTGACACGCGAAGACGGTTTTCTGAATATAAATCGAGCTTTAGAACAGCTACAGAGCTGGTAAGCACAGCTAATCGATTCAGAATGATGAGGCGCGTTCGCCTGTTGAATCCAGAGGTCTGAACTCGGTCTGCTAGCCGAGCTAGGTCCGCAAAACTATTCGTATTATTCGAGTCATCTTGACAGACACTCTCGGTTTTCTGTACTTAACTCGAGCTATAGGACAGGTGCAGAGCTGATACTTACAGAAACCGATTCAGAATCATTCGTCGCATTTGTCTGTTGAATCCAAAGCTCTGAAACCGGTCTGCTGTCCGATCTAGAATCGCGAAACTATTTGTATTGTTCGAGTCGTCTTGAGAAGTGCTCTGGGTTTTCTGCACTCAGCTCGGGGTGAGGGGAGCTACAGTGCTGGTGGTCACAGGACTCGATTTGAAGACATCAGACGCGTCCGCCTGTCGAATCCAGAGCTCGGAACTCGGTCTGCTCCCCGAACTAGGTCCGCAACACTTTTGTATTGTTCGAGTGATCCTGAGGTGCTGTCGGTTTTCTGCACTTAACTCGGCCTGTAGAAGGGCTGCAGGGCTGGTAATCACAGGAGTCGATTCGCAGACATCAGACGCGTCCGCCTGTCGCATTGAGCGGTCTGAACTCGGTTTGATACTCGAGCTGGGTTGCTAAACTATTCGATTTGTTAGAGTCATCTTGAGAGGTGCTGTCGATTTACGCGCGTAACTCGGGCTGTAGGAGAGCTACAGAGCTCGTAAAGAAGACAATCCAGAAGCATGGGGGGCGTTCGGCTGTTGCATCGAGGGTCTGAAATCGCTTGGGCTGAAAAATTAATCGTTCTCTGCAATTTTCTTTCCACATTATAGATTGTCAGGAAGCTCTACGAGTCCCCCGGCGGTGAGAAAGGTTGACGGTTTACCGCCGGCGCCCAGTTGGTGAATTTTGGTCGGCTTTACGAAAATTTGAAAGATATTTAACCATTCATTTTGAGAAAGCAGATTTTTGCGCGTCGCATTGGTATATAAAGTCCTCTCTGATTGCAGCTCAGCTCTCTCGATGCATTTTCCTATGAGTTGACTTCCGGGAACTGAGCGAATATGAAGATCGAACAAATCGAAAATAAAGATTTTCGAAAAATCTCATTTTTTGACTCTACTTCGATTCTCAGCACTCTTTCCAGTGTAAGGATCTCTTGCCAGAGATTTTTCGAAAATCTTCTTTTTCGATTTTCGATGTTCATATTCGCTCAGTTCCCGGAAGTCAACTCATGAGAAAATGCATCGGGAGAGCTGAGCTGCTGTCAGAGAGGATTTTATATGCGAATGCGACGTGCAAAAATCTGCTTTCTCAGAATACATGGTTAAATATCTTTCAAATTTTCGCAAAACCGACCAGAAGTCACCAGTTTGTCCGCCCCGGCCGGGTGGGCCAACTAGCTCCACCCCGCGCCGGAATTCCTCTAGGTCATCGATACCTCGTAGAGCTCTTCGTTATTCCAGCGCGGGGTGGAGCTAGTTGGTCGACCCGACCAGAAAGGACAAAGTGGTGACTTTGGGTGGGTTTTGCTTAGATTTGAAAGATATTTAACAATTCATTTTCAAAAAACTGATTTTTACGCCGAGCATTGGCATATACACTTTGTTCTCTCAACAGCTCAGCTCTCTAGAGCCAGTTTTAGTATTAGTTGACTCCCGGGAACCGACTTCATGTTGACTCCGAAAAATATCATTTTTACGTTTTTCCAGAAAAGCTCCCAGAAGCTCTCCGCTTCGATCCTCAGCTTTTTTACGGGTGCAAGGAGCTCTACGAGGTTCCCAGCGGTGACCAGGTTGACGGTTCACCGCCGGCGCCAGTTCGTACTCTGCTAATCATTTGGAGATGGTATATGGCAAGGAATCTCTACGAGTCCCCCGGCGGTAACCTAGACGGCCTCCGTGGATTCTTCGACGGAGGTCGCTCTGTGGAGGGATGTGCTGCAGGTTGGTGTATAGATTTGTGTGTACACGGGACGTGGCAGTTGGTGGCGGAGGAAGCTGTCTCGCTTGATGCCTCTGCTTCTGTCATGTTTTGTGAGATGATTGCAGCACAACGGCTCTGTATGGCCGTGGAGCACATTTTGGGTAGCATCTTTCATCCAAGCAGCTGACTCATTTCATCTTGCTTGGAGCTCTCCAACACCTTTACATTTTCACATGTTGTATTGCATCCTTTTCCTTGTTCCTGCATCCTATTCCGTTGCCTATGCCTCAGTGGCTCGGCAGTGTGATGATAAGAGTTGCCCTCTCCAGCTACCCTGTGCTCCGTTTGGGAGTCTTAGGGCTCAGCTGTCACAGCTGTCCGCGCCCTGACTCAAACTCAAAAACCAAGGTACTCGACTATGTTGGTGTCAGCCGTCGTTTACACAGGCAGGAACTCACCGTAGGCTGGATGCTGCCTTCGGAAGTCGGCCACGCCTGGACGGAGCACCCTTGCAGCAGATACGAGCGTGCGCTGTCTGACCACGCCTGCATAGTTGTTCGCTTGTCTTGTGCACCGTCTGCGAAGAGACGGACCCAGCCTGCTCGAAAATTCATCCACTTGCAACCGGTGTCGCAGCTGGAGTTTGCGAAGAACATGGACGATCGGGGCAGTCGTTGCCGTGCTTTGTGCCAGGAAAATGCTGACCCAGAGGATCGCCAGGAGATGTTGGATATGCTGGGACCTGACCTCATAAAGGCCGCCGAGGAGACCCCCCAGAAAGATATCAATCCCAGGAATAATGTGCCAAAGAAATCCGAGATCCACTGGGCCGCCCAGGTAAGTAAACGCGAAGCACTTCGTCGGGGGGATAGAGAGGAGGCTAAACGGTGCTCAAAGATTGTGAGGAGAGAAAGAAGGAGGCTTGAGGCAAGAGTACAGAGGTGGAGGTCGGAAATGAACACGAGGAGGAGGAGGAGGGCCAAGACGGAGACGTTGATCCTTGCCAACGGGATGGAGTCTCAGAACCGCGAGGAGTGGGGGGACGAGATATTGGGGCACATGAAGTCTAAGGTGGAGGACCCCGAGGCCAGAGAGGTGACCCTGCGTGAGCTTCAGTCGCTGCGTGGTCTATGTTCGGGAAGCGGATCCTCAGAGGTGTTCTCGATGTCGCTCCTGCTGCGGGCGAGGGCGAAGCTGTCCACGGGAAAGGCCCCAGGTCCCGACAACGTGACTGTCACGATGTTGAAACAGCTCTCGTGGGCATCTGTGCGACGTGTTCTGGTGAGCTTCCAAGGTGTGTATTCCCGCAGGTTATGTTGCCCCGACAGTTGGCGTCAACTAGCTGCCACGCTCATGCCAGAAGAAATGGACATACAACATTTG